AAGCTTTAAAGAGAATTAGGTTCATTGAGGATTCTCCAAGCCTGCGTGGATAACAACACTAAGTTGAAATGCTCGCAATGCTTGATTCTCAATCTGCCTTGAAGCTTAGATTTACAAATAGTCTCCCAAATAAACCAAAATTATTCTTCGTTTGTTTTTCTCTCCCTTCCAAAGGAAAGCACGTTAAATTTGAATTATCTCAACGATCATAAGCTTTGGGGTCTTGTAGAATGAAAATGGGAACATGGGTATGGATATCAAGATAAAGTTTAAGAGAGTCACTTTCCCACCATAAGAAACAAATTTTATGCGCCACAAATTGAGCCTACTCTGTAATTTAGAGAGAATATGAGTCCAACTAGATTTCCATCGAGGATTCGCACCAATGGGAATATCGATAAAGGAGAAAAGAAGATGAGTGATTGAACAAGTTAAGAAGTCTGAGGTTGCTGTCAGAAAACCAAGAACCACATTAAGACCTAAAATCTTGCTTTTGTGAAAATTCAGACTTAAACCTGATACTACCTCAAAGGCACACAAAATAGAGTTTAGGGCCTAAATATTATCGCAACTATCTTCACCAAAAAAGACCGCATCATCCATGAACTAGAGAAAACCGACATGAATGGAGGAAGAAAGTTTAAAAGGATGAAACTTGTCTAGAGAAACCACATTCCACTACTATAAAATAGACCTTTCATAACACCATATTACAACAATCATCCTATTAATCGTGTTAATAAATCTTTTTTGGGGGCCCTTTTTGTGTTTACTGAAAGACATTTCTCTACGGTTATAGTTAACAATTATAGTGAAATGTACATGGAGTGAAAGAGCTTGAATCCCAACACCAATAATTTTGCATTTATTGTGACATAATGAGCTTGACCTTGTATATCACCGTGGTTCTTATAATCTACCGTAGTGTAAGGTGTAATCATTTCATCACAGTTCGTATTATCAATCACGGTGGAAGATGTTACATATTTATATATAAGCGAAATTATCTCTTGCTTCAATACATAACAGTTATCTCTCTTAAAACAAAACTCTAACATCTCTTTCACTCGTCTCTCTCAAAATAAAACCCTAACATCTCTGTCACTTGTCTCTCTCATATGGAAACCTCAAACTTATGCAACGAGCTCGTCTTATTCGAATGGTTACTTTTGTTGCATGAAATTTCAACAAATGGCTACCTTACAGGTTTTTCTTCACAATAGTTTATGTTTCAAAATTTGCTTATGTTTTATTGTTTATGTTTCAATAGCTCGTCTCACAATGTTTGAACTTTCTGCTTGTTTTGACTTATAGGTAGGGATGGTGAATGAAAAAAAATTAACAAGGACGAAGCTAAAGGAAGCGCTGCAAACTTGTGTGCAAGACCCATAATGACATCCATTTAAAATTAACACAAGTTCGTAGCTCTCACTTCAGCTTCATCCTCCTTTCATTGCGGATGTCATTATGGGACAAATACGTTTCTAAAACATTCAATGAATTGATATGTTATTGTTGTTGTTATTAATAAAAATTGTATGTTGTATGTAGTTTATGCTATGCGTTTATGATTTTGTTGTTTTTAATAAGAGTTGTTTGTTGTTTCTTATATGTTATTGATGAATGTTGTTTTTAATGTTTGTTTAAAAGATGAGTTTATTATATCTTCAGTGGTTTAAGTGTTTTCCAACCCCTTACCGAATATATAACTTCTTAGATTGCATTAGAAAATTTTAATATGATAGATAAAGTTATATTAGAAAACAAGTTAAATGTTCAATTCTAGACAAAAAAATTTTAGTTTGTTATCTGTATTTCGCTCTTTAACAGTTAGAATTTAGTTTAATAAGTCTAGTTTTTCAACCACCCCTTTCTCCACCTCTAATTTTGTTTGTAAAGTAAATAATATTTTACAAAATGAACTAGAGGTGAAAGAATGAGAGGTTGAAGAGCTAGGAACATTAAACCAAATTCTAATAGATAAAAAGCAAAATACATATAATGGACTGAAGAATTCTTGTGTAGTATTGAACGTGTAACTTGTTCTTTTAATATAACTTAATGGGTAATGTTAACTTGTGCCCCAAGGGCACATGTTAAGAACTAAATTAAGAAATATCATCTTGGAAATTGTGTACAAACTTTAATTAAAGTATAAAATTAACTTTTAAATTATTTTTTCCAATACAAATTTACTAAAAGTGGTTTTCTTAACATGTGCCCAAAGGACACAAGTTAACATTACCCTAACTTAATTTATCATATTATAATATTCTATATTATATATTTAATGAACATTGACTAAATAAGAATTTCACATAATTTATAATAAATTTAGTGTATTAGAACAATTATTGTTAATGTTATGTATTAAAGTATATCAGAACAATTGTTTCAAGTAACCGTTGTAATAAATACCGCTATACATAAAAGCGAACATACATACAACTATCAATTATCTCAACGGTTGGTCAGACGTTGTAATATTTATTTTTAACCGTTGTGAAATGACTTTTACGTAGTAGTATTCTTCGTAAAACTTTTCTCTTTTGTGAATTTTATTTTACATGGATAAATATTTATTTTTTATTTTTCAACTTTTCCAACTTTAGATCAATCAAAATAATTCAATTGTTAGAGTTAACTTGTGGAACTCAAGTATCTTAAATGAATTGAATTAAAGATTAAAAGAAATTTGAGGCTATCTGACAAAATATATAAATTTTATACTAACATTATCATTTAAAAACGTTAGAGAGTTAAATTGTGTTTTCAAAAACTATGGGATCAACTTGATCTCTTTAGTGAAAAATCAGCAAATATTTCTAGAGGCCTTTATAGAGTTCATCTTTTAATTACTTAGTCAAACATTTCAATTGTAATAAATATGTATAAAAATATTTGTTGAATGAGATTAACTCCTTAAATAGATTTTAGATAATTCGATTTATTTGTCTCTCAATTATTAATTAGCTAAGAAATACAGCTCAAGTTCATGGCCAAATTATTGCACAAGCATGTGTTTTCAAATTTCACAACAAATCTGAAAATCTAGTTGGTGGTTGATTATAAGTAGGTCCTTACATATGTTAGCACATTAAAATCAAACACAAGAGGATCAGGTATTTACTTTTTAATTTTAAAAATGTACAATTGATTTTAATGTGTTTGATTTTGTTTTAAAACAGATTTGTCTAAATCTCTAAAAAAAGAATTTTAAATTAAAACATATAACTTTTAAATTTAAATACGATTTTTCGTCCTTAATAAAAATTGATGAAAAAAATAAGCTATTAATCCAAATACAATAAATAATACTTTTTTTTTTCCAGTCTGATAGACATGTCTATACTATTATACAGAAAAATATAGGGAAAAAAGTGTAGGATTGATTCAAATATTAAATATATGATTTGTTTCAATAATTTATGTATAGTATATATTGGATAAATATTTTTATCACAAATACATTTTGTATTCTACATAATATTAGAGTTATTTTTCGTAAATAATGTATTGATCTTAAATTTATGCAGCCTATTAATATATTTATTTATAATTTATTATCACATATTTAACTATTATTTAATTATATCTAATTATGGTGTATAATTGATTCTAATTATATTTAATTATGGTGTATTTATAAATATTTTTAATATTTTAACTCATATTTTTTTAAAATTTTAACTCATATTTTTTTAAAATTTAATTGATATGCACCAATAGTATAAAGATTTTTTTACACTATCAATTAATTATAACTGCTGATTTATTTGAAAACTTGACTTTTATTTTAACCGTTTGAAAAATAATATAAACGGATGAATGTGATGTATTGACGACATAAAATTTTTATATTGACAGTGGATAACAATTAATTTTATTCTTTAATAAAAAATATTTATTTATTTGATATGGCGCACAATTACAAATAAAGTAAAAATATATGTCGTTGATTCAAATGTTTTTATATAAATAAAAAATGTATTGTAATCTAAATGTCTTTATAAACGATGTTATTTTTATAAGTAATAATAAAATAAAAAAAATATTATTGTTTAAAATATTTTTTTAATATATAAAAAAATTATAGACAGAAATTTATTATCTATTTTTAAAATAATATTTTTTTATTAAACAATTTTATTTTTCTTCCATTTTATTTTTACTATGTTATGAAAATAAATCCATATATAAAAAGAAAGGGGATATAAATCAAAACCCTTCTTTCTATTTATATATTTTTCTTTTAATTAAAAAACAAAATAAATAAATGCGTGTACGTATCGATAACCACGGATATTTTATTAGTTAATACCTTAAAAAGTTTTATGATACTAAACTTGAGATTTTCATATCCTACTTTATCAAAAACAAAAATGAAAGAGTTCAAATTTGAAAATTGTGACTACTTACACTTGAAGTGAAAGTACAGCAAACCACATAACACAACAATTATGATCATTTCCACAACAACACTTTCAACTTCTTTTCATGTTTTTTGACCAAAGTTTAATTAAACATAAATATGGTTGTAGTAAAGTTGAAGACATTAAAGCAATAAATAAATAGTACTTTTGATTAAAAAAAAAGCAAAAACAATAATCTTTTAGTATAGTACTTTCTCACTCTCATTCCCACATATTCAAAACACTTCTCAAATACCAAAACAAAACAAAACAAATATAGTAATAAATTTCAAATTACCCTACATGTAAGGAATTTCCATTAGTTAATATTACTACTCCTAGAACAAATAAATAAAATCACAGACAAAACATTAATACAACAACATCGTCGTAGGTACAGTGTTTTTTTTTTCTTCTTAGATCAGATTCAAAGTCACATTCACAAAAATAACAGAACAAAACAGAGCAAAACAGAACAAAACAGAACACGTTCATAACCCATTATGTTTCTTTTTCTCTCTATTTATTTCTTCTGCTAAACTAATCTTCTTACATCTTTTCAAAACTTTCCCTCCATTGTTGAAAGCTATGGAAACCATCTCAGTTTCCAAGTTTCTTCTTTTACTTTTCTTCTCTCTCTTCTTTCTTGGTTCTCACTTTGTTCATTCTAGTGTTACATATGATAGAAAAGCTATCATCATTAATGGACAAAGAAGAATCCTTATTTCTGGTTCCATTCACTACCCAAGAAGCACCCCTCAAGTATACTCTCTCTCTCTCTCTATCTCTCTTTCTCTCTCTACTTTCAAATGAGTCTTTTTTGTAATGTGTGTTGTTGTGTTTTGTGTATAGATGTGGGAGGATCTGATTCAGAAGGCAAAAGATGGAGGGTTGAATGTTATTGATACTTATGTGTTTTGGAATGTTCATGAACCTTCTCCTAGTAATGTACTATTCTGGAATCTGGATCTTGTTTTGATTAAGTTTGAATATTCTCTTAAAAGGATCTTTTTTTCTTAATTCCTGTTACATTTTTTGTTTGTTGTTTTAATGATGTTTTGTGTTGCAGTACAATTTTGAAGGAAGGTACGATCTGGTACAGTTCATTAAGACTGTTCAGAAAGTGGGTCTCTATGTACATCTTAGGATTGGTCCTTATGTATGTGCTGAATGGAACTTTGGGTATGTAAATATGCAATAATGCAACTTCAAACATTTAATGTTTTGTTTCTTAATGTAGTTTTTTTAAGTTTGTGATTTACAATGATGTTTTGTTTTTTGGTTTGTGTAGAGGTTTTCCTGTTTGGTTGAAGTATGTTCCTGGGATCAGTTTCAGAACAGATAATGGTCCTTTTAAGGTTGAGTTCAATTTGGAATAGTTTCTTCTACTAAAGAAATATTGAAACTTTGTTGCTTAAAAAGTGCTTTTTTCTTTAGGCTGCAATGCAAGGTTTTACTCAGAAGATTGTTGAGATGATGAAGAATGAGAAGTTGTTTCAATCTCAAGGCGGACCAATTATTCTTTCGCAGGTAAGTTGTTACTTTCATGTTTGACATTTTGGTTCGAAATTTGTCTCCTACATGTTGTGAAAGATCAAAAAGAATGGATCTAACGCGATCGAGTTGATGATAATATCTTAACTTTTTAGATTGAGAATGAGTATGGACCACAAGGAAGAGAACTTGGAGCTTCTGGTCATGCATACTCAAATTGGGCTGCAAAGATGGCTGTTGGATTAGCTACAGGTGTCCCTTGGGTGATGTGTAAGGAAGACGATGCTCCAGATCCGGTGGTGAGTGACCCTTCTCGTGATCTTGCCTGATTTTAAGGTGAGTTTGACGACATCACGGTGACAATAAGATTTTGTTGAAGTTTCAAAGTGTAACTTTTGATGAAGTGGAGTCATCGTGATTCTGTCAAACTTACCGTCGATTATGGTTGACCTTTCTAGTTAAGAGTCGAGTATGATTCATCCAATACTTTCTTACAGATAAATACTTGCAATGGTTTTTACTGTGATTATTTCTCTCCCAATAAACCATACAAGCCTAAGCTCTGGACTGAGTCTTGGACTGGCTGGTAAGTGATATATAACTTGTTCATGTTTAAAAATTCGGTTGCGAAAAATTGGACACATTTGTCTTAATTTTTTACCCTTTTGTTCTTCTTTTCTCAGGTTTTCGGAATTCGGTGGACCTGTTCCTCAGCGACCGGTTGAGGATCTAGCGTTTGCAGTTGCTCGATTCTTACAATCGGGTGGTTCATTTTTTAATTATTACATGGTAAGTTACCTGATTTTATTTTCTTGTTAAACAAAACACATGCTTTGTTAATTTACTAAATACGAGTATTAATCGTGATTAATGATAACGATAGTATCACGGAGGAACTAATTTCGGGCGATCAGCTGGAGGACCATTCATTACTACGAGTTATGACTATGATGCTCCAATTGACGAATACGGTTAGATAATTAATTACACTTTCAAAACAACTAAAATATTCTCATTAGCAAATTGTAATCTTTGCTTAAAACTGATTTCAGGTTTGTTAAGGGAACCTAAATATGGTCATTTGAAGGATCTTCATCAAGCTATCAAGCAATGTGAACATGCTTTGGTTTCTTCGGATCCTACTGTTACATCGTTAGGAACATACGAACAGGCACATGTATTCTCTTCAGGAACGACGTGTGCAGCTTTTCTAGCAAACTATCATGCGAATTCGGCTGCGAGAGTGACATTCAATAATCGGCACTATGATTTGCCTCCTTGGTCTATAAGCATCCTCCCTGATTGTAGAACAGATGTATTTAACACTGCAAGAGTAAGAATATCGAAATATTTGTTATTATTAGCATTGTCTTTCGCGTCAAGTTATTGATGATTGGATTGTTATGGTTTCATGAAGGTGAGGTTTCGACCTTCACAAATACAAATGCTCCCTAGCAATTCTAAGTTGTTATCATGGGAGACCTATGACGAAGATGTATCGTCGCTAGCGGAAAGTGCCAGAATCACAGCTTCTGGACTTCTAGATCAGATAAGTGCTACCAGAGACAGTAGTGACTATCTTTGGTACATAACCAGGTTAGTGAATTTCTTTGTCATCGAACTTTTTTCTTTTACCTTTTTAGTTCGATGCAGTTGAAATCTCACTGGTTTCTGGTTTTCATGCAACAGTGTTGACATAAGTTCATCGGAATCATTTCTTCGCGGAAGGAACAAGCCGAGCATTAGCGTGCATTCCTCTGGCGATGCTGTTCATGTGTTTATCAACGGAAAATTTTCAGGCATGTATAGTAGTATCTTATACTTGTTGTAATCAACTTTTCTCATTCAATCAATTTCAAATAATCGACAGATTCTTGTTTCCTTTTGCAGGCTCGGCTTTCGGGACAAGAGAACAGAGAAGTTGCACGTTTGACGGCCCTATCGACCTACGAGCTGGAACTAATAAAATAGCACTTCTCAGTGTAGCTGTTGGATTACCTGTTAGTACCTTGCTTGTTACTCCAACTTGAACTCACTCGATCACCATTTTTCTAGTTATTCATTTCTTACTTTCTTTTCTCTTTTTCGACAGAATGGTGGAATCCACTTTGAATCATGGAAGACAGGAATCACCGGTCCAGTTTTGCTCAAAGGTCTCGACCACGGACAGAAAGATTTGACATGGCAGAAATGGTCATACCAGGTCGGCCTGAAAGGCGAAGCAATGAATTTGGTGTCTCCGAATGGTGTATCATCTGTTGATTGGGTGAGTGAGTCATTAGCTTCTCAAAATCAGCCGCAGTTGAAATGGCACAAGGTAAGAACAGTTAGTTACTGGTTTACATTACTATAACATCTATTGAAGTCTATCGAAGAGATTTGAATCTAATTTGAAATTTTCAGGCCTATTTCAATGCACCTAATGGAAATGAACCATTGGCATTGGACATGAGTAGTATGGGAAAGGGTCAAGTATGGATCAATGGACAAAGCATAGGAAGATATTGGATGGTTTATGCAAAAGGTAACTGCAATTCTTGCAACTATGCCGGAACGTATCGTCAGGCAAAATGTCAACTTGGTTGCGGACAACCTACTCAACGATGGTATGATACTACTTTTCTCTAAACTTCAGCATTACTTTGATATCTCTAGGAAAATGCAACTCACTACTTCGATTTTGCAGGTACCATGTTCCGAGGTCATGGTTAAAGCCGACAAAGAACTTGATGGTAGTTTTCGAGGAATTAGGTGGAAATCCTTGGAAAATATCTCTGGTAAAGAGGATAATACATACTCCAAGAACTAGTGAATCAAGTTTAATGATTAATACAACACGAGTATGAGAAGCCAAACGGCAATAGCTGATCTCCGATCGACAGGACTACATACAAAGGGGCCATATTTATGAAGAATAAAAAAAATGCAGGTGTGGAATTTCTATATAGCTTCTATTGTCATTATACCAAAGTTGTGTGACCAAGTTCATTCTTAATCTATTCTTTGAACTTGAGTGTCAATTTATTTACTTGAAAGAGAGAAAACTACAAAATTCAGAAATGTTAGTGCTTTCCATGCACTCATTTGTTTGTATCTAATATCTGTGAACCTATCTATCTACAAATGCAATTATATAGGTGGTTGGCTTATTCAATAATCAATTATATCTATTTTCTTAGTTGTTATCAATAATCATCAACCAGAAGGGACCATTTTCATCAACATATATTAAGTGCCAACCATCAACCAATTATGTCATTTTCATACAAATATCTTTTTGTCAATAATAGTCATTTGAAGTAGGCCAATAATGCCTAAATTTATTTTCAAGCAAGCATAACGAAAACACACAAACCGACACGAAAAAGTTCACTTTGTTATTGATGATCTTGATATGATACTTCAAGCAGTAGCAACAGTTGTGGCATGTTTGGTTATTGCCAGCTGCAGCTCTTCCTTCTTAGCACCAACTACCTTATCGACTTCCTTGCCTTCTTTCAAGAACAAGAAGGTTGGCATAGCCTCGATAGACCATTCCTCGGCAACACTCTGAAATAGTACACATGTTTCAAACAATGTTAATATAGTATGATCATCATAAGATGCCAAAATACGGTAAAATTTGACTGTGTTATCCCTGACTAGCCGTGAGTTTGACAGAATTACGATGTACTGATATGATTTTAACGAGTTAGTTTGATAGAATCACATTGTCACGGTGATTTTATAAAACTCAACGCGATTTCAAACATGCATTCAACTTAAAAAAGAACGAGCTTAACATAGATTAAGATATGCTTATTATTATACCTTTAATTCGTCAATGTCCACCTTGAGGAAGATGACTTCAGGTGTCTTCTTAGCAATCTCTGCTAGAATTGGAGCAATAAAACGGCATGGACCGCACCACGAAGCAGTAAAATCCACCACAATCTATTATTATCCGGTGTAATACAATTAACTTAAATTTATATCAGAATTCTTAAACAAAATAACATAAAGGTGGTTGGTTACAAATTAAGTCAAACATGAAATTGACATTTTGCAAAAGTCACAACTGTCATTTCAACGAACAAAATATGTAAATATTTTCAGAAAAGAAGATTGAACAATTTCATGAACACTCATGGATAGTTTTGCAAACCACGTATATAAAAGCAGATATATAATAGAAAAATAAGGCAAAGTTTGATAGTATTTTGATGAGTAGTTACCAGTTTTTTGGATTCGGTTCCTTTCTGGATCTGTTCCTTCCATGATTCAACGGAATGAACACCGATCACCTCATTTTCTGCTGCCATTTTTTGTTGTTTCTCTTGCTTTGAATTTTGGTTGCTTAGCTTGCACGAGAAAGCATATGCACTACTAGTCACGATCTCTCCGTTTTATAATATTTCTATTGCATTAAGTTAATTATATTCTTATATAAAGTTAAATCACAATCTAAAATAGTTTTATATATTTAATCAATTCTGTCAAGTCCCTTTAATATTGTTAAATTAATTATATAATATAATTAAAGCTTAAACAGTATTTTCGTTCTTATAAGTTGGCGAGTTTTTGATTTTCGTTCCTGAATTTTTTTCTCTCCTAGTCCCCATATATTCATTTCTGTTTGGCGTTAGTCCCTGCTATAAATGAACTGTTAAAAAAAAGTTGAGATGGCAGACGGTAAAGACTTGGCTTATGTTTTAGCATTTGTTTTATTTTTTTCTTTAGCACATGTGGATATAATGTCCCCCCCCTCCCCAAATAAGTCATCAAAACTTATTTCCCTACTTTCTATTTAGTCGCTGTAAATTGGAGTTTCACATTTAGAAAGCATTTCAGCTCAGGGAAGGTGGAGGCAACTGGTACAAGAGCTTGTCCGAACGAGGCGACTGAGGGTGACAAAGCTACAATCGTGATTGAGCGACCTAATCGAATCTTCTAGGTATGACATTTATGGTGAACATTCATTACAGGGGAAAGTTTGTTAAGAATAGTGTCGTGTACTATTTAGGTGGAGATAAACATGTAGTAGACGTTGACCCTGATAGGTGGATTTTCTTTAAAGCAACTGGTATTGTGAAAGAAATTTGCAACCTTGAGTCCACTGATTATTGGCTATGATGATATAACATTATATCAGGTAAACATGCAAGGATAGTTAGTGATATTGACACTACTGAGGTTTATGAAAAAACTGTTAACACTAGTTGTAGTGTGAATTTATTTGTTGAGCATAAAGTAGTTGTAGCTGATAATGTCGTTAATGATGCTGATAATGTTGATAATGGTAATGATATTGAATCTGATAGTGTTATTGGGGCTAATGTTCATGATAATGTTGAAAATGGTATTGCTGATAATGTTGATGATATTGAAGCTGATAATGTTATTGAGGATGATGTTCATGATAATGTTGAAAATGTCAATGTTGATGATATTGAAGCTAGTAATGTTATTGAGGATGATATTCATGATAATGCTGGAAATGTCAATGTTGATGGTGATGCTGGCAATTTAAATGTTGATGAATCTGCCAAAAGGTTGATGAGAATTTTGTTGGTGTTGAAGGAGATGATAGTGATGCTAGTGATTATAATGGTTTATCATTTGAGGACAGTGGGGATGAAAGGGCCCTTGGCATGGATGATGGATTTGATGTTGTAGACAAACCACCTAGAAGGGTTAAACAGATAGCAAGGAAACACAAGAATACTCCAATAAATATAAGAAATGATGATGCCACTAGGGGTTCATCAAGTGGGGTTAGTGTTGGTAATGAATGGCTTGAAACTAATTATTTAAGTGATGATCTAGGCAGTAGTGATCCTGATGCATCAGATGAAGAGAAAGGACCAAAATATCCTAGGTTTAAGATGGAGGAGTTAAACAAGGACTACAAGTTCAAAGTTGGTTTGGAGTTTGTATCTCTACTTAAACTTAAGGAGACAATAATTGAATGGTTGGTGTTAAATGGAAAGAGATAAAGATACTATCTTATGAATAAAAATTCTAAATTAAGAGAAAAAGTTGATAGGTAGGAACATAGGATAATGCTAAGACCTAGAATTAGATTAGGTAAAGAGGTAGAAAATGCTGGTAATTAGATTCCAAACTAGTATGGTGATACTACTTGGCAAGTTGAACATATCCATAGCAAACATAGCTTCATAGTTGACACTTCTAAAAGAACTTGTACGTGTAACTTTTGGGAATTGATAGGCATACCATGTAGATATGCAGTTGCTGCCTTAGGCTTTAGGAACCAACACCCTGAAGACTATATAGATGATTGTTATTCTAAAGAAATATATGTGGCATGCTATGATTTCAATGTTAGTCTGATTAATGACCAAGACAGATGGCCTGAGATTAATACTGAGGAGATGTTGCCTCCATCATACAAAAGAGGCCCTGGTAGGCTAAAGAAATAAAGGAAGATGGAATCTGATGAGGACCCTAACAAGGTAAGGACACAAACATCTTATTGTTGTACCAATTGTGGTGTACATGACCGCAATGCAAGAAATTGTTCAGTTCTGGTGTCTGACCCTGAAGCTCAGAAAAGAAAGGCATTAACATAACTCAATTATATTTTCTTACTAAGTGTTTGTAAGTGATGTTGATTGAATCACTTTGTGTGCAGAAAACACCAAAGAAAAATGTTACGCGAACAACACATCCTGGATCTATAGCAGAACAAACAACACCTGCTGAAAATGAAGCCTCTACTGAACAACAACAACCTCAACATGAACCTCCAACTAAAGAACATCCAGAAACACAATGTGATGTGGAACAAGAGTTTGAAATGCTTGCAACAGATCTTTGTGCAGCTTTTGAAAGGACATAACCTCAACCCAATGTCAATGATCTCACTTCCTAAATTCCAGCTCCAACTCAAGTTGCTAGTGACCATGCTCCAACTGTTGAGGTTGCATCCGTAATGACTTCACAAGGGGTTGGTGACTCACAACCAAACTACATTCTCTTTGCACCTGTTCAAGAGGTTGAGCCCACACCTAATGAACATGTTCATGCACCTCCTCCTAAGGAACCTGTTTATGTGCCTCATAAACTAGTTGAGTCTGCTACTGACTAATTGACTTAATGTGTATGTTCTCAGCTTTATTGATATTGGCCTAATTGTATTTGTTTATATTGTGTATTTGTAGGCAAAGCAACCCAAACAAAAAGTTGCAAGGAAGTTGGAGTTTAGGAAAAGTGATAGAGCAAGGGTACTTAGATGCAAAAAGTTCAAGGGAGAAGGAAGTAACCATGCACAAGGGTACCATGGAAATTGAAGACACTGGACCTATTTTGACTTATGTTTTTTGAACAACATTACTACAATGGTGTACTTAAGGCTTGTTGTTTTCTATTATATATTTTGATTACAATACTATTTTGACTTTAACCTTAGAGTTTGAACCTTTGTGTTTTGGATACAAGCATGTATTTTGGCCTAAGCCTTTATGTTTATGATACAATGTGTATTTTGAATACATTATCAAGTTTGTTTTATGCACTTTATCAAGTTGTTTTATGCACAATTGAAACGGCCTATTACCAATTTGGCTTTTATTCAAATTATCAAGTTTGGTTTATGCACAATTCAAAATAGGAGGAGCAATATAATTGCATACATATATTGTCCAAAACCAAAACATCTTTTTCATTCATCATATGGTACAAGGACCAATCTCAAAATACATTAATGTAACAAGGACTAAAAATAAAAAACAGAAACATACACAAACAAATGAGATTCACCACCATTTGTGATAAGCAAAGAAGAATCCCCATGACACAACCAACACTAGCTTCAAGAGAGTCGCTTTTCTCTTCTTCTTCTTCAACTTAATCTTCATCTTTTCCTTTTTGACAATCTCAATCTCCTTAATAATGGACCCTAAATCCTTCAACATTTTCGAGCAGTTGCGACCACTTGAACTTTTAAGATCACTAGCTAGATTTCGTTCAAGTTCATCATCCCAAATGAATAACTTGCAACCAGACATTAACCATGAATTTTGACGCTTCCAAAATCTTCTTTTAGGGTTTTCAATAGAGTTTGACATAAACATTTTCATGCTTCTATTGCAACCACAAACCGGATCTTGAACGTGATGAGAGTTGGCAGACGAAGAAGAAGCCATGAATGTTGAAGGTACTGAGAGGAACAACAAGAAGCAAATGGCGAAGACGGAAGGAAGGAGAAGAAAAGAGAAATGTAATTTTTTTTATTTGGTCCATTTTTAATCAACTGCAATCATTATTTCCACGTGTGTTCTAGAAAAAATAAAACAAATGCTGAAATATAATTCATGTCATCATCGTCTGCCAACTCAACTTTTTTTAACATTCTATTGACAGCAGGGACTGAATCCAACAGGGAATGAACATATAGGAACTTGGACAAAAAAACAAAGATTTAGGGACGAAAACCAAAAACACGCTATTTTACGGGGACAAAAATATTATTTAAGCCTATAATTAAGTAATAAATTCTTATTAAATATCAATGGCAAAAGTCAAAGTATCATACATGTAATTGTGATTGTGTATTTCATCTAAATTTTAGATAAAATACATTTAGACTTTAAAATCTTTTTGCTTATTTTTATATTTTATTATAAAAAGAGCATAAATTAAGTCAAGAAATTAAAAAAAAAATTATTAACTTTTTTTTTGTATTTCTATGTTGATCATCCTTTATTATTAGAGTATTTTTTTCTATGAGGTGTAAGTAGATAAAAAAAACCAATTAAACCGATAATATAAATCAAAACAAATCGAAAAAATGTTTTTTGTTATGTTGAAAACCAAACAGAATTGATAAAATTGAAGTGGTTTGATTCGGTTCTTGGTTTTAATTTTTAAAAATCATAAAATCAATGAATCAAACCGATGGGTATAATTATGGACTTGATCTTTTATTCATCCAATTATTAAGCCAAAGTATTATACCAATTCAAGCATTTTCAATCTTTGTTTAAGCTTCCTTCCTTTAGCAAAACACGCCGTCAACAACCAAACTCCAAACATACAAAGTAGAAACTCTAAGTCACAAAAATTTATTCTCACTGAATTGTTGCTCTCATTGACCATCAAAATTGTTGTTCTTGCCACCGTCGTTTTGCTTTGTTCTCATCGCCTTCTTCGTGTTTCAAGTTCTTTAGGTTAGTTTTAATATATTTTTTTATACCTTCTTTGCTTCTTTTTCAAATAAATTCTTTCATGACGTTTTACAAAATAGTTTTGATGCGTGTTTGAGGTGTGAAACATGTTAATTTATGTGTATTGAAATTTT